ATGGAGTGAGCACATGTAATCACTATGAATTAAAGATATTTGTTTCTTAAATAACCACCCCAATCCCCCGCAAGTTCCGTCTAATCCAGGGTAGAGACCACGGGAGGTCAGGCTGTTCTCCCAGCAATTGGCAGGTGTGGCGAATAGCATCGTCCTCACAGGTCCTGGGAGGGGAGGTGGTCCCGGGGGAGCTACTGCCTGGGAAAGCTGGTTCATGGGTCCCTGGGTCTCTGCCCAGTTAAGGATCTGATGGATGGCATATGATGTGAGTGAGGAATGACAGGGCCCCAGCTGGCACAAGGCGATGAATTAATATCCTCTCTTCCAGGTAACAGGCTAGGGGAGGCTGAGTGACAAGAGGCTTTAGTTACTAGCGATTACATAAGAGACTGGCACTACGGCAGCGCAGGCAGATTAGACAATGGCAGGCGATCAGGACACTACCCACAATGCATAACACACAAATATGTATTATGCGTTACTTGTGCTTCTTATGTGAACCTTTAACATGGGTTGGATGAAACTGTGTGCCATATAATTGCATAGAGAACTGATTTATATGATCTATGTGCTGTTTAAATAAATATGACCTTATCAAATCACATGTTATTTGTCACATGCGCCAAATACAACAGCTGTAGGTAGACCTTACCGTGAAATGCTGACTTACAAGCCCTTAACCAACAATGCAGAGTTTTTAAAAAAGTAAGAAAAATGTGCTAAATAAACTAAAGGAAAAATAGTAACACTATACAAATAGCTCGGCCCCAGTGATGTATTGGGCCGTACGCAATACCCTCTGTAGCACCTTGCGGTCAGTTGCTGAGCAGTTGCCATACCAAGCGGTGATGCAACCAGTCAGGATGCTCTCGATGGTGCAGCTGTATAACTTTTTGAGGATCTGGGGTCATGCCAAATCTTTTCAGCCTCCTGAGGGGGAATAGGCATTGTCATGCCCTCCTCACGACTGTGTTGGTGTGTTTGGACCATGATAGGTCCTTAGTGATGTGGACACCAAGGAACTTGAAGCTCTCGACCCACTCCACTACAGCCCGCCGATGTGAATGGTGGCGTGCTCCACTATCAGCTCCTTTGTCTTGCTCACATTGAGGGAGGGGCTGTTGTCCTGGCACCACACTGCCAGGTCTCTGACCTCCTCCCTATAGGCTGTCCCATCGTCGTCGGTGATCAGGCCTACCACGTCGTGTTGTCTGCAAACTTAATGATGGTGTTGGAGTCATGCGTGGCCATGCAATCGTGGGTGAAAAGGGAGTACAGGAGGGGGCTGAGCACGCACCCCTGTGGGGCCCCCGTGTTGAAGGTCAGCGTGCCGGATGTGTTGTTGCCTACCCTCACCAACTGGGGGTGGCCCGTCAGGAAGTCCAGGATTCTGTTGCAGAGGGAGGTGTTCAGTCCCAGGGTCAGCTTAGTGATGAGCTTGGAGGGCACTATGGTGTTGAACACTGAGCTGTAGTCGATGAACAGCATTCTCATGTAGGTGTTCCTTTTGTCCAGGTGGGAAAGAGCAGTGTGGAGTGCAATAGAGATTACGTCATCTGTGAACCTGTTGGGGCGGTATGCGAATTGGAGTGGGTCCAGGGATTCTGGGATGATGGTGTTGATGTGACCCATGACCAACCTTTCAAAGCATTTAATGGCTACAGATGTGAGTGCTACAGGGCGGTAGTCATTTAGGCAGGGTACCTTGGCCTTCTTGGGCACAGGGACTATGGTGGTCTGCTTGAAACATGTAGGTATTACAGACTGGGTCAGGGAGAGGTTGAACATTTCAGTGAAGACACTTTCCAGCTGGTCAGCGCATGCTCTGAGTACACGTCCTGATAATCCGTCTGGCACTGCAGCCTTGTGAATGTTAACCTGTTTAAAGGTCTTACTCACATCGGCTATGAAGAGTGTGATCACACAGTTGTCCGGAACAGCTGGTGCTCTCATGCATGGTTCAGTGTTGCTTCCCTCAAAGCGAGCATAGAAGGCCTTTAGCTTGCCTGATAGGCTTGTGTCACTGAGCAGCTCACAGCTGGTTTCCCTTTGTAATCCGTGATAGTTTGCAAGCCATGCCACATCCGACGAGCGTCAGAGCCGGTGTAGTAGGACTCGATCTTAGTCCTGTATTGACGCTTTGCCTGTTTGATGGTTCGTCGTAGGGCGTAGCGGGATTTCGACACAGTGCGTCCGGATTAGTGTCCCGCTCCTTAAAAGCGCTAGCTCTAGCATTTTGCTCAGTGCGGCTGTTGCCTGTAATCCATGGCTTCTGGTTGGGATATGTACGTACGGTCACTGTGGTCACTTATTAATGAAGCCGGTGACTGATGTGGTATACTCCTCAATGGCATTGGATGAATCCTGGAACACATTCCAGTCTGTGCTAGTGAAACAGTCCTGTAGCTTAGCATCCGCTTCATCGGACCACTTCCATATTGAGCGCGTCACTGGTACTTCCTGTTTGAGTTTTTGCTTGTAAGCAGGAATCAGGAGGATAGAGTTATGGTCAGATTTGCCAAATGGAGGGCGACGGAGAGCTTTGTACTCATCTGTGTGTGGAGTAAAGGTGATCTAGAGTTTTTTTCTTCTTCCTAGTGGCACATGTGACATGCTGGTAGAAATAAGGTAAAACGGATTTCAGTTTTCCTGCATTAAAGTCCCAGGCCACTAGGAGCGCTGCCTCTGGATGAGCACTTTCTTGTTTGCGTATGGTCTTATACAGCTTGTTAAGTGCGGTCTTAGTGCCACCATCGGTTTGTGGTGGTAAATAGACAGCTACACTTTTAGAAAATGTTTTGCTATCTAGAACCTTAAAAGGTTATTTGGCTGTCCCCATAGGAAAACCCTTTGAAGAACCCTTTTTAGTTCCAGGTAGAACCCTTTTGGTTCCAGGTTGAACCATTTTGGGTTCCATGTAGAACCCTTTCCACAGAAGGTTCTACATGGAACCCAAAAGGGTTCTACCTTGAACCTAAAAGGGTTTTACCTGGAACCAAAAAGGGTTCTCCTATGGGGACAAAAAGGGTTCTCCTTTTGAAACCTTTTTTTCGAAGACTGTACGAAGAATATAGATGAAAACTCTCTTGGTAAATAGTGTGGTCTACAGCTTATAATGAGGGACTCTAACTCAGGCGAGCAAAACCTTTAGACTTCCTTACTATTAGAGATCACACACCAGCTGTTGTTGACAAAGAGACACACCCCACCCCCCCTGATCTTACCGGAGGCTGCTGTTCTGTCTTGCCGATGCACGGAAAACCCAACTAACTGTATATTATCCATGTCCTTGCTCAGCCACGACTCGTGAAACATAGGATATTATGTTCTGTTAATAGGATAGTCTCGAACGGAGCACATCCAGTTTATTCTTCAGTGTTCGCCAGTAGAACGGAGGGGGTAAGGGCGGATTATCCACTCGTCGACATAGTCTCGCCAGGCATCCGACTCGCCGACCCCTGTAGCGGCGTCTCCTCTTCTTACATATGACGGGGATTTGGGCCTGGTCCGGGAAGAGCAGTATATCCTTTGCGTCCGACTCATTAAAGAAAAAATCCTCATCCACATCGAGGTGAGTAATGAAGCTCTTTTCGGTCATAGGAAACGATGGTAGTAACATTATGTACACAAAAAGTTAAAAACAGCGCAACAAAAACACCCAAAAAGCACAATTGGTCAGGAGCCCGTAAAACGGCAGCCATCCCCTCTGGCACCATTTTGAGTCCATATGCTCGCAAAACCACAAATCTAACCCAAATCTATCACTCATGACTCATCCCCTGCAATCAAATGAATAATTCAAAATATGACTGTATGGTATTGCCCTCAAACAGTTTTTGATATTAGCTGTAGATTATCTGTAGCTGTAATATCGTGTAGTAGTAATTGGAGTCTTGCTGGGATTGTGGTGCTGATCAAAGGAAAAGGATATGAGAGAGAGCGAGGAAGAAGTACTGTATGAAGAAGATATGGAAATACCATTAGCTCCAAGTTAAGACCTAAACTCAGACAAAGGCTTTTTTTTATTTTTTATCTACACTAATACAATGCAGTAAAAAAGTTTTCACATTTTGTGGTGTTAGAATCTGAAATGTTGACACTTTTAATTTGTTTACATTTTTCCACTGATCTACACAACCTACTTCCCAGGGTTACAATTGAAAGTGTCAACATGTCAGACTCTAACACAACAAAATGTGAAAACTGTGCAGGGGTTCACATACGTTTTCACTGCATACTATACACTGAGTGTACAAAACATTAAGAACACCCGCTGTTTCCATGACATAGACTGACCAGGTGAATCCAGGTGAAAGCTATGATCCCTTATTGATGTCACTTGTGAAATCCACTTCAATCAGTGTAGATGAAGGGGAAGAGACAGGTTAAAGAAGGATTTCTAAGACTTGAGACAACTGAGACATGGATTGTGTATGTGTGCCATTCAGAGAGTTAATGGCAAGACAAAATATTTAAGTGCCTTTGAACAGGCTATGGTAGTAGGTGCAAGGCGCACCGGTTTGTGTTAAGAACTGCATTGCTGCTGGGTTTTTCACGCTCTACAGTTTCCCTTGTGTATCAAGAATGGTCTACCACCCAAAGGACATCCAGCCAACTTGACACAACTGTGGGAAGCATTGGAGTCAACATGGGCCAGCATCCCTGTGGAACGGTTTCAACACCTTGTAGAGTCTATGCCCCGACAAATTGAGGCTGTTCTGAGGTCAATAGGGGGGAGGGGTGCAACTCAATATTAGGAAGGTGGTCCTAATGTTTGGTATACTCAGTTTATATCTATCAAGAGAAAGTTGCATTTTTATGTTTGATATCTGATGTCTCTGTGATACCCTTTCACACTAACTCACCTTAAACCATGTTATGTCCACTCTCAAAGTGAACCTGTGTTTTCACCTGAAACCTTGACTGCTGAATATGAGGACACTGATTATCAGGAATATAATAACATAAAAAAATTAAAATCTCCTTCTTGTGACTGTTGTTTTGCAGGCCCTGCTGTTCCTGTGGGAGTGGATGTTCAGGTGGAGAGTTTGGACAGTATATCAGAAGTAGACATGGTAAGTGAATAGATAATCAAACAATGAACATTTTAACATTTCAATGAAGTCAATGTTAACAGTTATCACAGGTCAGTGGAACATTTGAAGTGGTCATTGTGATAATGTTTCAATTCAACAACTATTGGATGCAATGGGTAGGGAAGCTAGCCACTCCTAAAACAAACCCCTGAAAATGAATGTGTCATTCACAATCTGCCAACAGGTGTTTTGCAGCTGATATGCTAAAATCCACTATATTTGTCATGCTCATTAATCTCTTCTTCACAGACGGATAATGAAAATGGATAATAGAAGCACAGTGCTAGAAATGATGTTTTGTGTTCAGACGAAAGACCATGCGCTTGCTCCACCACAGTAATATAATTAAATGGAACTTATTTTCTAAGCTGCAAATTGGAGTCCAAACAGCAGTCCTGATGTTCTGTAAACCCCTGTGTGGGAGGACAACCAAGGATTACATTTCATTCAGATCTCAGTATTTGTATATAATTGTATGAAAATAGACAGGGCAAATTATTGCTTTCAAACGATGACTGCCCTTAATGATATAATGTAAGAATGATGGAGGACAAGTGTGTTCAGTCAGACTTATCAGCCATGCCATTATCATTATGCAATGTTACAGTGGTCTATATCTGTTAAATGTGCCTACATTTGCTGTTATACACATGCATTCTATGTAATGATAAAAGTACTGAAGTAGGCGCTGATTATTTTGCTGTTGTCATTATTATTTCAATTCATATTATTACAGATCTAAGATTATGTAATGCTGCGAGGTGAATGGAAAACAGGATGAGCTGCTGTGGTAGATAAAGTGGCGTAGTCTGGCATAAAATAGATCCATATTTTTTTTAACAGATGCAGATAGGGAGGAAAGGGATATGTGTGACCAATGCAACCTCTAACCCAAAGCTGTCATTACTGTATGTGTCTCATCATCACTAATGTCAACTCTGACGACCCTCTCTGGACATAATACATCATATGTTCCATGCTCATACTGAGGACATACAGTACCAGTCAAAAGTTTGGACGCACCTACTCATTCCAGGGTTTTTCTTTATTTACATTGTAGAATAATAGTGAAGGCATCAAAATGATGAAATAACACATATGGAATCATGTAGTAACCCAAAAAGTGTTAAACAAATCAAAATATATTTTATATTTGAGATTCTTCAAATAGCCACCCTTTGCCTTGATGACAGCTTTGCACACTCTTGGCATTCTCTCAACCAGCTTCACCTGGAATGCTTTTCCAACAGTTTTGAAGGAGTTCCCACATATTGTGAGCACTTGTTGGCTGCTTTTCCTTCACTCTGCGGTCCGACTCATCCCAAACCATCTAAATTGTGTTGAGGTCGGGGGATTGTGGAGACCAGGTCATCTGATGCAGCACTCCATCACTCTCCTTCTTGGTAAAATAGCCCTTACATAGCCTGGAGGTGTGTTGGGTCATTGTCCTGTTGAAAAACAAATGATAGTCCCACTAAGCCCAAACCAGATGGGATGGCGTATCGTGCAGAATGCCGTGGTAGCCATGCTGGTTAAGTGTGCCTTGAATTCTAAATAAATCATAGACAGTGTCACCAGCAAAGCACCCCCACACCATAGCACCTCCTCCTCCATGCTTTACGGTGGGAAATACACATGCGGAGATCATCCGTTCACCCACACCACATCTCACAAATGTCCACCTGTCTAATGTCCATTGCTCGTGTTTCTTGGCCCAAGCAAGTCTCTTCTTCTTATTGGTGTCCATTAGTTATGGTTTCTTTGCAGCAATTCGACCATGAAGACCTGATTCACACAGTCTCCTCTGAACAATTCATGTTGAGATGTGTCTGTTACTTGACATCTGTGAAGCATTTATTTCTGAGGCTGGTAACTCTAATGAACTTATCCTCTGCAGCAGAGGTAACTCTGGGTCTTCCATTCCTGTGACGGTCCTCATGAGAGCCAGTTTCATCATAGCGCTTGATGGTTTTTGCGACTGCACTTGAAGAAACGTTCAAAGTTCTTGAAATGTTCCGTATTGATTTACCTTTATGTCTTAAAGTAATGATGGACTGTCGTTTCTCTTTGCTTATTTGAGCTGTTCTTGCCATAATATGGACTTGGTCTTTTACCAAATAGGGCTATCTTCTGTATACCCCCCCCTACCTTGTCACAACACAACTGATTGGCTCAAACGCATTAATAAATAAATAAATTCCACAAATTAACTTTTAAGAAGGCACACCTGTTAATTGAAATGCATTTCAGGTGACTACCTCATGAAGCTGGTTGAGAGAATGCCAAGAGTGTGCAAAGCTGTCATCAAGGCAAAGGGTGGCTATTTTAAAAATGGTTTTTATTTGTTTTACACTTTTTTGGTTACTACTATGTGCTATTCCATGGTTTTGATGTCTTCACTATTATTCTACAATATAAAAAATAGTACAAATAAAGAAAAACCCTTGAATGAGTAGGTGTTTCCAAACTTTTGACTGGTACTGTATGTCTGATCATAAACCTATGCTGTAATCTAGGGTGAGACCCTGGTAATCCCAATATACATAGCCGCGGGAAGATGTTTGGGGGTGGGGGGTGCTGCTATTTTTTTCTTGACGGCTACAGACGTCTATATCAGTCTGCTAATACAGGACTAGTAAAGGCCCAGTGCACTACTTTTGAAAAAAAAATAGCAATTAAAAAAAATATTTTATTAGTAATATATTTTTTTTCTTCTGATTTTTCATGGGATGCTGCAGCACCCTCAGCACCACTACTTTCCGCAGCTATGCCAATATATACAATCAATGGTTCAATCTAGAACTCTCAGTCCAGGAAAGGGTTCAGAGGATTTATACAAGGCTGCAACCAACCAACAAGTTAATCCAAAAGTAATCTTGGTTTGTTTTGGTGACCTGCAGGACTTCACTATGACCCTATATCTGAGGCACTACTGGAAAGACGAGAGGCTGTCCTTTCCCAGCACAACCAATAAGAGCATGACGTTCGACGGGCGCCTGGTCAAGAAGATCTGGGTGCCTGATGTGTTCTTCGTCCACTCCAAGAGGTCGTTCATCCACGACACCACCACAGAGAACATCATGCTCAGGGTGTTCCCAGATGGACACGTGCTCTACAGCCTTAGGTGAGCTGCTGCTGCTCCCAAACTCCTTTTGTGTCAATCTCCACATTCTTCAGAAATGCAATGGTGACATTTCTATGATGGCAGCGCAGAACTCGGTTGATCCAAAGTTTCCCAGCAGACATTTACCCAATCACAATGTGTTATGTTTGCGTCATCGTGGGTATGTTGTGTTGATGTGTTTTAAATCCCCAGGGTGACGGTTACTGCTGCCTGTAACATGGACTTCAGTCGTTTCCCTCTGGATTCACAGACCTGCACGTTAGAGCTAGAGAGCTGTAAGTAGCGAGACTCTTACTGCCTCACACTGTGTTATAAAGGTATTTGGTGTGGTGGTACAGAAAATCAGGCAGATTTTAATTTAAATCCATGTCTGTTGTCTCCAGATGCTTACACGGATGAGGACCTCATGCTGTACTGGAAGAGTGGGGATGAGTCCCTGAGCACGGACGACAGGATCTCTCTGTCTCAGTTCCTCATCCAGAAGTTTCACACTACCTCTAGACTGGCTTTTTACAGCAGCACAGGTAGATCCAGAGCCTGATGATAACATGTATTGTTTACAAATCACACATAATGTACAAAAATTATGACTCCATGTTACAGGATATTAATAGTCAACATTTGAAGATATTGTAGAACAGTTTGTATGGATTTTTGGATGTGACAATTTCACTGCATCCCTATACAGTACATTGTTTGTACAAATACATCTGCTCTTACCTTCTTCAGAGAAACATAACCCATTTTCTAATTTAGGGTGATTCCTCACCTGTCTTTGTCCTTTTCTCTCAAGGCTGGTACAACCGCCTGTACATCAACTTCACCCTGCGACGCCACATCTTCTTCTTCCTGCTCCAGACCTACTTCCCTGCCACTCTGATGGTCATGTTGTCCTGGGTGTCCTTCTGGATCGACCGCCGGGCCGTACCGGCCAGGGTCTCACTAGGTAAGATACACTCTTAGAAAAAAACATTCTACTTAGAACGTAAAAGGGTTCTTCAGCTGTCCCTCTGGGAGAACCATTTGAAGAGTGTAGACAGATTGGTTGGTTCATATCTATATGCAGTGGTGTAAAGTACTTAAGTAAAAATACTTTAAAGTACTACTTAAGTAGTTTTTTTAGGTATCTGTACTTTACTCAACTAATAATATTTTGTACTACTTTTACTTTCACTTCTCTACATTCCTAAAGAAAATAATGTACTTTTTACTCCATACATTTCCCCTAACAACCAAAAGTACTTGTTACATTTTCAATGCATAGCATTTGACATTTACATTTTAGTCATTTAGCAGACGCTCTTATCCAGAGCGACTTACAGTTAGTGAGTGCATACATTTAAAAAATACTCAAATAGCAGGACAGGAAAGTGGTCCAATTCACTCACTTATCAAGAGAACATCCCTGGTCATCACTACTGCCTCTGATCTTGTCACGCCCTGGCTCTGGGGACTCTTAAATGTTGAGCCAGGGTGTGTATATTTCGTGTTGTGTTTATTTCTATGTTTAGTTTCTAGATCGTTTAGATCTATGTTGGCCAGGGTGGTTCCCAATCAGAGGCAGCTGTAGCTCGTTGTCTCTGATTGGGGACCATACTTAGGCAGCCTTTTGGCACCAGTCAGTTGTGGTATCTTGTTCCGTGTGAGGTATGTTATTTTGTCTACCTTGGACTTCGTGTTTCGTTTGTTGTTTTGTCGTGTGTTCAGTACGTAAATAAATATGAATACATATCACGCTGCGCCTTGGTCCTTCTCGTTAATGAACGATCGTGACAGAAGATCCCACCAATCCTGGATCAAGCAGCGTGATGAGGAGAGAGGATGGACTTGGGAGGAGATGAGCGAGAGTCTGGCAAGAGGGATGGAGGCCATGATCACGGGGGAGAGACAAGCCCAAAAAATGTTTAGGGGGGGCTCACGCCGTGGACGACGAGGCAGCAGGAGGCCGCGATAGAGCGGTTCAGCCGTTTAGCAGAGGAGGCCGCCAGATTAAGGGGGTCATTGGTGCAGAGGGAGCAGAAGGAAAGTGTAGAGGCACGGCGAGAGGAGCTGGTTAGGCAGCAGAAGGAGCGGGGGGTAATGAAGGAACCCAGTCCCGCTCCTCGCACCAATTGAGTGGTGCGTGTCGCCAGTCCGGTCCGGCCCGTTCCTGATTCCCGCACTAAGCCAGTGGTGGGTGTTCCCAGTATGGTTCGGCCCGTTCCTGCTCCTCACATCAAGCCAGTGGTGCGCATCGCCAGCCCGGTCCGGCCTGTTCCTGTCCCTCGCACCCAGCCAGTGGTGCGCGTCGCCAGCCCGGCCCGGCCTGTTCCTGCTCCCTGCACCAGGCCAGTGGTGCGCGTCGCCAGTCCGGTACGGCCCGTTCCTGCTCCCCGCACCAAGCCAGTGGTGCGCGTCGTCAGCCCAGTCCGGCCCGTTCCTGCTCCCCGCACCAAGCCAGGGGTGCGCGTCATCAGCCCAGTCCGTTCCTGCTCCCCGCACCAAGCCAGTGGTGCGTGTGTCCAGTCCGGCACGGCCCGTGCCTGTTCCACCGGTGCCTGGTCCGGCACCGGTCAGCTGCTCCACTCCGGAGCCAGAGCAATCCGCTCCACCGGGGTCTAGTCCTGCTCCGGTCAGCGGCTCCACTCCGGAGCCAGAGCAGTCCGCTCCACCGGTGCCTGATCCAGTTCCGGTCAGCGGCTCCTCCGGAGCCAGAGCAGTTCGATCCACCATCGTCGGGTCCAGCTCCAGTCAGCGGTTCCAGTCCAGACCCAGACGTCAGCCCCTCTCCAGGTTCGGGATCTCCCACACCAGGGTCCAGACAGGGCGTGGTACTTCTTGGGAGGAAGGAGAGAGGAAGCAGCGCGCCAAGGTCCAGACCAGACCAGGGGCGCAACGGGGAGGTGGAGAGTAAGTGGTGGTTACACCCGGAGCCGGATCTGCCTCCGAGGCGGAATGCCCACCCGGCCCCTACCCTGTTAGGTTTATGTGGCGCGGTCGGAGTCCGCACCTTTGGGGGGGGGGGGGTACTGTCACGCCCTGGCTCTGGGGACTCTTAAATGTTGAGCCAGGGTGTGTATATTTCGTGTTGTGTTTATTTCTATGTTTAGTTTCTAGATCGTTTAGATCTATGTTGGCCAGGGTGGTTCCCAATCAGAGGCAGCTGTAGCTCGTTGTCTCTGATTGGGGACCATACTTAGGCAGCCTTTTGGCACCAGTAAGTTGTGGGATCTTGTTCCGTGTGAGGTATGTTATTTTGTCTACCTTGGACTTCGCGTTTCGTTTGTTGTTTTGTCGTGTGTTCAGTACGTAAATAAATATGAATACATATCACGCTGCGCCTTGGTCCTTCTCGTTAATGAACGATCGTGACAGATCTGGAGGACACACTAAACACAAATGCTTCGTTTGTAAATGATAAAAATTTAAAAAACAAGAAAATTGTGCCGTCTGATCTTCTTATTATAAGCAATTTGAAATTATTTATACTTTTACTTTTGATACTTAAGTATATTTTTGCAATTACATTTACTTTTGATACTTAAGTATATTTAAAACCAAATACTTTTAGACTTTTACTCAAGTAGTATTTTCTGTGTGACTTTCACTTTTACTTGAGAGTCATTTTCTATGAAGGTATCTTTACTTTTATTCAAGTATGACAATTGGGTACCTTTTCCACCACTGTCGATATGAGGATACTTCCTTCAGTCTTGTGCTCACACAGATGTTGTGTGTTGTACTGTGCTCCAGGTATCACCACGGTGCTCACCATGTCCACCATCATCACTGGAGTCAACGCCTCCATGCCCAGGGTTTCCTACATCAAAGCTGTGGACATTTACCTCTGGGTCAGTTTTGTGTTTGTGTTCCTATCGGTGTTGGAATATGCCGCCGTCAACTACCTGACGACGGTGAGAGACGGGAAAGATCGGAAGCTCAGGGAAAAGGCCAGAGAGCAGGTAAGACCCCAATCATACCACACTGTACTGCTCTTCTTTATGTCCTTTCAGCATTTTTCCTACTCTGATCTCTCTCTCTTTCTCTCTTTCTCTAATAAATAAATATGCCATTTAGCAGATGCTTATACCCAAAGCGACTTACAGTCATGTGTGCATACATTTGTTTAAATGTAATCTCACTTTCTCTTTCTTTCTTTCTCTATCTCTCTCTCACTTACTCTCTCTCTCTCTTTCCTCTGCCCTACAGTCCCTGGGCCTGGCGAGAGAGCAGGTAAGGGTCCTCATCATATCACACTGAACTTCAAGTCCTTTCAGCATTTTTCCTACTATGATCTCTCTCTCTATTTCAATTCAATTTCAATTTAAGGGCTCTCTCTCTATTTCTCTTGATCTATCTCTCTCTCCCTCTCTATCTCAACCCCCACCTCTCTCTATCTCTCTCTGCCCTACAGTCGCTCCCTTGCACCTGTGGCATGTCCCACACCGGGACCGTGATGGTGGATGGCGATGGGACCTACAGCGAGGCCGACACCAACAGTCTGGCCGGATACACCAGGGCTGACGCTCCCGAGGACCCCCCGGAGAAGCAAGAGCACATGGTGGTGCACCTATCCCTGGACAATGAGTCCACAGGAACCAAGAAGAAAGCACGCTTCCGCAGCTTCAGCATCATGCAGAACACCCACGCCATAGACACCTACTCCCGCATGATCTTTCCTGGATCCTACATTATCTTTAACCTCATATACTGGTCTGCGTACTGCTGAGGCTCTCGCATATAGCCCTGGTACAGTCAGTAGAGAGACAATCTACTGGTGTTTACTGTACCAGATAAAACAGGACAGTTATTGGACTCAGATAATGACTCAAAGTGGTAATGACCTCCATATTTCACCTGTGCGCAGAACGGCATAGCTCACAAAGGATTTCCCAGATCTCTGGATGGATACCACCATGCTATCCTCACCATTAGCTGCAACCATCTTACTACTTGACTCAACTGTACAGCTTTCCTACTTTCTCTATATAAACTATTTACACAACCATGCAGCTCCTAGCAACAAACTACGATGGACTACCTACCTGCTCTTCTCCTATTTATTGCAATTTGATCTCTGGAATCCATGCTGTTTAATCTTCATGGTAATGTCAAAGTAGGGAAACAATATCTGTAAAACTGACAGTATACGTACATCTGGAATGGACTAAGGGCTAAGTGTTGCCCTAGCTTGCCTCTTTAACCAGAAAACAGAAAGCTTACTCTAGAAATGCGAGGGTTTGACCTCTAAACCATGTTTATTTGACAGAGTGCAAGCACCAATTGCTAATGAGCACATTCAAAAACAGCCACAGACTTATGTCTTCTAGGAATGCACCAAGTGTTATTATTTTTAACAGTTGATCATGATTGAGCAAACCACACAAAAATCAAAACCTACATAATACAAGCTGGAATTATCATGAAAAAGATTTTCACATAGATACAGTATTTCATTGTTTATATCATTATTTATTAATTATTAACCTATTTATTTATGTTTATTTATTTATTCATTCATTTTAGGCCTTTCAATTTACTTACATAATTACTTTTTAGTGCACTGATAGACTCATATTCCATTATACCTTAAGATGTTAAAAACAATGAGGCTGGATAGATAGATTTTTCCGAGTGGTTGCGGTTCCGAATTTCTTATGAGGTCAGAGGTCACAGACATTATGTGGGGATGAGTACCATTTATGAATACTTATTTGAACTATCATGAAGCTTTATCAGTGATGTAATGAACTTGAACAGCCTTAAGTGAACTGTTTTTTTATCGCTGTGGTTTCACGCCACGGCTATATTTTTTCTGTTTGTTTGTTTGATTGACTGTTTGGATTACGAGTGACTACATATCACTTTGTGCAAGTTTTCTATCCAGTATTCTAGCCAACCAATATATTAGTAAACATGGTACTGTATGTAGTATGTAGGTAGCCACAAGCATGAGCTGGATTTACTAGGCTGTGATGTCACTCATCAGAATGCACGAAGCTCTTGCATCCATATTGCCACTGTAGATATGTCAGCATGTTGGACAAATGCTTAACCAATGCAAGCCACCTCATACAGATGCTTGTCCACAAGCTGCACAACTACGACTGATTATTGTTGCATCAAATATTTAGAATGTATGCTTTTTGGAGCAGATTTTATAAATAAAGGATTTAAACTAAAAGCAAGTTTGCAGTAAAGGTGTTTGAGCATGATTCATGACCATACAGATGTTGTGTTTGCCTGTTGTCAGTCTAAGAAACATTATCTTTCAAATGCTGGAGGTAGGGTTTCAAAGTTCCGGTAACTTTCCCAAAACTCCCAGGTTTTCCAAGAATCCCAGTTAGAAGATTCCCTGAATCAGGAGGTGATAAGCAGGAAATCCGGAATTTTCCAAACAGGATTTCTGGAAACCCTGGGAATTTGGGGAAAGTTGCCGGAATTTTGCAACCCTAGCTGGATTATGTAATTGTTTCCTTAAGGATGAGACAGCATTACTCAGGACTAAGGACTATGAGATAACATTACTGGAAATCTTAACTTCTAAGAATAATTTATTTCGGAGACAATCTTGCCATGTGACGTACATCCGTCTATCTGTAATATAGATTTTGGAAGCATTCAGAGAACATTTAAATCCCCAAACAAACAAATCAAATTAAATGAGCCTCAGTGAGAACGTCTAAGCTGCCACCACCTACACAGCTCACTGCTGCCATATGTGCCTATATATTACAGCATATCATTACAACATGTATGAAAATGTATGCACTCACTAACTGTATGTCGCTCTGGATATGAGCATCTGCTAAATAACTAAAATGTAAAATGTAATAGTGGAGCTCACAGGAGACTTCTGAGGGGAGAATGGCCCATAATAATGGCCAGAACGGCGCAAATGGAATGGCATCAAACACCTGGAAACCATGTGTTTGATGTATTTGATGCCATTCCCCAATTCAGCTCCAGTCATTACCACGAGCTCGTTCTCCCTCCTCCTGTGGTGGAGCTACAGTACAGTTGCTTATACGGTGCCTTCAGAAAGTATTCACATCCCATGACTTTTTCCACATTTTGTTGTGTTACAAAGTGGGATTAAATGGGATTTTATTTATATTCTTTGTCAAAGATGTACACAAAATACTATGTAATGTCAAGGTGGAAGACAAATGCTAAAAAAATTCAGAAAATAAAACACTAATATACCCTGAGTCAATACATTTTAGAATCAGCGATTACAGCTTTGAGTCTTTCTGAGTAAGTCTCTAAGAGATTTGCAAACCTGGATTTGCCCATTATTCTTAAAAAAAAATATTCAAGCTCTGTCAAGTTGATTGTTGATCATTGCTAGAACCATTTTTAAGTCTTGCTAAAGATTTTCAAAACTGTAACTAGGCCACTCAGCAACATTCAATGTCGTCTTGGTAAGCAACTCCAATGTATATTTGGCCTTGTGTTTTAGGTAATTGTATATGAATATGAATATGAATATGCCATTTAGCAGACGCTTTTATCCAAAGCGACTTACAGTCATGCGTGCATACATTTTTGTGTATGGGTGGTCCCGGGGATCGAACCCACTACCTTGGCGTTACAAGCGCCGTGCTCTACCAGCTGAGCTACAGAGGACCACAGAGGACCACCAATTGTCCTGCTGAAAGGTGAATTTGTCTCCCAGTGTCTGTTGGAAAGCAGACTGAACCAAGTTTTCCTCTAGGATTTTGCCTGTGCATAGCTCTATTCCGTTTCTTTTTATCCTAATAAACTCCCTAGTCCTAGCCGATGACAAGCATACCCATAGCATGATGCAGCCACCACTATGCTTGAAAATATGAAGAGTGGTACTAAGTGATGTGTTGTGTTGGATTTGCTCCAAACATAAAGCTTTGTATTCAGGACAAAACATTTATTTGCCACATTTGTTGCAGTATTACTTTAGTGCCTTATTGCAAACAGGATGTATGTTTTGAAAATGTGTATTCTCTACAGGCTTCCTTCTTTTCACACTGTCATGTATGTTAGTATTGTGGAGTAACTACAATGTTGTTGATCCATCCTCAGTTATCTCCTATCACAGCCATGAAACTCTGTAACTGTTTTAAAATCACCATTGGCCTCATGGTGAAATCCCTGAGCGGTTTCCTTCCTCTCCGGCAACTGAGTTAGGAAGGGCGCCTATATCTTTGTAGTGACTGGGTGTATTGATACACCATCCAAACTGTAGTTAATAACTGCACCATGCTCAAAGGGATATTGAATGCCTGCTTTTTTTTTACCCATCTACCAATAGGTGCCGTTCCTTGCGAACCATTGGAAAATCTCCCTGGTCTTTGTGGTTGAATCTGTGCTTGAAATTCACTGCTCGACTGAGGGACGTTACAGATACAGTGGGGAAAAAAAGTATTTAGTCAGCCACCAATTGTGCAAGTTCTCCCACTTAAAAAGATGAGAGAGGCCTGTAATTTTCATCATAGGTACACGTCAACTATGACAGACAAAATGAGGAAAAAAAATCCAGAAAATCACATTGTAGGATTTTTAATGAATTTATTTGCAAATTATGGTGGAAAATAAGTATTTGGTCAATAACAAAAGTTTCTCAATACTTTGTTATATACCCTTTGTTGGCAATGACACATGTCAAACGTTTTCTGTAAGTCTTCACAAGGTTTTCACACACTGTTGCTGGTATTTTGGCCCATTCCTCCATGCAGATCTCCTCTAGAGCAGTGATGTTTCGGGGCTGTCGCTGGGCAACACGGACTTTCAACTCCCTCCAAAGATTTTCTATGGGGTTGAGATCTGGAGACTGGCTAGGCCACTCCAGGACCTTGAAATGCTTCTTACAAAGCCACTCCTTCGTTGCCCGGGCGGTGTGTTTGGGATCATTGTCATGCTGAAAGACCCAGCCACGTTTCATCTTCAATGCCCTTGCTGATGGAAGGAGGTTTTCACTCAAAATCTCACGATACATGGCCCCATTCATTCTTTCCTTTACACGGATCAGTCGACCTGGTCCCTTTGCAGAAAAACAGCCCCAAAGCATGATGTTTCCACCCCCATGCTTCACAGTAGGTATGGTGTTCTTTGTCCTCCAAACACGACGAGTTGAGTTTTTACCAAAAAGTTATATTTAGGTTTCATCTGACCATATGACATTCTCCCAATTCTCTTCTGGATCATCCAAATGCACTCTAGCAAACTTCAGACGGGCCTGGACATGTACTGGCTTAAGCAGGGGGACACATCTGGCACTGCAGGATTTGAGTCCCTGGCGGCGTAGTGTGTTACTGATGGTAGGCTTTGTTACTTTGGTCCCAGCTCTCTGCGGGTCATTCACTAGGTCCCCCCGTGTGATTCTGGGACTTTTGCTCACCGTTCTTGTGATCATTTTGACCCCACGGGGTGAGATCTTGCGTGGAGCCCCAGATCGAGGGAGATTATCAGTGGTCTTGTATGTCTTCCATTTCCTAATAATTGCTCCCACAGTTGATTTCTTCAAACCAAGCTGCTTACCTATTGCAGATTCAGTCTTCCCAGCCTGGTGCAGGACAGAGGAGCCTTTTAAAGAAGAAGTTACAGGTCTGTGAGAGCCAGAAATCTTGCTTGTTTGTAGGTGACCAAATACTTATTTTCCACCATTATTTGCTAATAAATTCATTAAAAATCCTACAATGTGATTTTCTGGATTTTTTTCCCTCTATTTGTCTGTCATAGTTGACGTGTACC